GACGGGCGTCATGGCCCCCGCCGCCCCTCCCTCTATGACGTAACGCTCCCCCCCAGTGCACTCCAGGCACTGCCACCGTGCGCATCGGGACCCGCACAGGTGTCCGCATAGGAATCCGCATAATTAGGAGTCTGTTGCGCAGTCGTCGTCGTCGTCGTCGTCGTCGTCGTCGTCGTCGTCTTCTTCTTCGTCGTCGTCGTCGTCGTCGTTGTTGTCGCTCGTCGCTCGTCGCTCGTCGCTCGTCGCTCATCGTCGTCGTGCGCGCGGACGCGGCTGGATCCATTTCTTTTTAGGGATTCTGGGCCGATGACGGCGATCATATGGAGGGGGTGGGGGTGGAGGGGGCCGATGACGTCACGTTTCGCGCCGGCGGCGTCTGGGAATGCTTAAGAATGACCGAGGACGGGTAGTAGCAGCATGTCGGTGGCGATCTGCACCACAGACAGTGCTTGCGTACACCACAGTGCCTGCGTGCACCACAGCTCCGGTGTAAACCACGCCGCCTATGTACACCGCAGCAGCCGCTTGCAACACAGCGCCAGTGTGTGCCACGGTGCCCGCGGGCACCACAGCGCTTGTGTACGCCACACCGCCTGCGTTCACCGCATCAGTCGTGCGCAACACAGCACCAGTGTACACCACAATGCCTGCGTGGACTGCAGCGCCTGTGTACACCACGGCGCCTGTGTGCACCACAGCTTCCGTGTGCAACGCAGCACCACTGTTGCATATAGAATTCGAGAAGGAAGCCTTATGACAAAATGGAGCGCCTGTGGATTCCACAGACAAGTGTTTTATATAGGATTTGGAAAGGAATCCTTACGGAAAAAGGAGCGCCGCTGGAATCTACGAATCCTCCCGAGTCCGCCCGCATCATCCTAACTTCCCCCATTTGCGTCCAGGAGGCTCCAGCAAACTTGGCCGTCCGAGAACCAGGTGGAATGATTCAATCGACAATTTTGTTGTGCACGCTGAGATGCGCACGTGCGCTGTCGCGCCGGCCCGCACGACAGGGGGAAGGGTGAGGGAGGAGGAGGAAAAGGAGGAGGAGGAGGAGGAGGAGGACCAGTGTAAACCCAAGAGTCATCAACGATGTTGGAATGTAACCTCCCTCCAAACTCCCTCTTCATAGGCCCCTACAGCGGTTAATTTCCATTGAAGGAATTGCCTCTTTGGAAGACAGCGGTTTGAAGACCCTGAAGCTTGCCAAAACATTGTTCTCAATATTTCAGCGCCACGGATCCATCTGACTGTCGCGTCTTGAATCGTGCCACCGCGCCGTTCCTGGGATTTCGACACAGTGAATCAACATAACTGCTGCGCCCGCATAATCCCGAAATCTTTTCAAAACACCACCCTGGCACGTTGATGATGGGAATCCGTGAAACTCTTGCAAATTCTTAGAACGAGTGTGCGCCGCGCTAAGGCGAGAACCACATTTTGAAAAGGAGCCGCCTTCAATCCGTGAAACTTGTGCAACGTGTTAAAAAGAGTGTGCGCCGGGCTAAGGCGAGAGCCACATTTTGAAAACCACCCGCCCTCAATCCGTGAAGCTCTTGCAAATGTTTAAAACGAATGTGCGCTGCGCTAAGGCGAGAGCCACATTTTGAAAACCACCCGCTTTCAATCCGTAGAATTCTTGCACGTTTAGAACGAGTGTGCGCCGCGCTAAGGAGAGAGCCACATTAAAAAAAACGGCCCGCCCTCAATGTGTGAAACTGTTGTCACCTTTTAAGCTTCAGAGTCAAATTGTGAGGAAGTCTCAGGCGAAACGCCCGGCCCGCCCTAAAAACTGGCTTCGGGGTGCGACAGGGGGAAGTTTTTCATAAGGAAGAGGAATGGAGGAGGAGGAGGAGGAGGGGGAGGAGGAGGATAAGTAGGAGGAGGAGGAGGAGGAGGAGATCTACCCAACGGTTTTTCTGTTATGAGTGTGCCCACTGCGATGCCATTGCAACGGCGTGGAGAGCCCATAGAGCATCGCACGTTGAATTAGCAACGCAGTATAATGAACTTGTCTGTGTACCAGACGAGACATGTCAAGCATGTAGACAGACATTTCCCTCCAGGACTTGCGTTTTACGTATATCAGTTCGCAGATTTAACACTGGACGCCTAACGCCCTCCCAAAGTATTGCCACCACGCTCTCTGAGGATGGAGTCGCATGGCCAAGTTAGAGGCTAGCTGGCGAGCGAGAGGAAACAAGTATTCGAACGCGATCAGACCAGCCCTGCGACCTCCAGGGTGGAGGTTCGGAAGGGTGGCTTAGTTTGAACAGATCCCTGAACCGCCTGTTGCGTTCCTACTCTCACCTGAACCTCCCCCTTCGCACCGTTTGCTCCGCACCCGACCGTCCAAGTTGTCGTGCATTTCAGGCTTGCGCTTGCAATCACAGTTTTTCAAACAACGTTCGCCTAGGGCAGGGACCAGTTGATTTGACAGTTCGCTTTTCAGACTGTGATTTGAGTCTGGGCATCTGCAGCTTTTGATTGGCACGATCGCTGGGCTCCTTTATGAGTTGCCACCCTTGACATGGAGGGAGAGGACCTTTGCGAACCAGCGAGTATCCATGGGGAGTGCCGTGGGCCATACAGGTCCAGCGACAACTACTCAACACATATCAATATTGCTCTGCAGGCGATGCCAATGTGTTCAGATGCCTGTCGATGTGAAGTTCCAACCGTCACTGAGTTCGAAGGAAGCGATCAAACCTGGTGCCTCCCACCCGTACTACAGCTCGGAAGGCTACCTGGTGTTGTCACTGCTTATTCCTAGGCGTGAAGGTGTGCGCAACGTAAGTGAACACGCCGAGATCGCACCTAGCAGCATGGCAGGGACACGAGATGTAAATACCAACCAGATCAGTGGCGGCGGCACTCTGGCAGCGGTCAATCGATAAGGTCTGCGAAGAGTTGCCGCAGGAGCTTCTGCAGTTTCGGATGTTGCGCGAGCCGTTTTGTAGCTGGGGTGTGAGATGGAGGTGGCAATGAGGGATGGGGTGGGTAATCAATGACCTCGCCGAGGGCTCGAGGGCAATTCCTGCCTCGTCGACACCGTCGACCTGTCGCCAGGAATGTCCTTGCGTACCCCCTCTGGCCCCCCTTCGTGCCGGTGTGTTGTAGGGGGCGCCAGGGGGGTATGCAAGCAATGCTTGTGGCTCTTGCAGCGTCTTGAGCGGGTTCGAGATGAGGCGGAGAAGGGAATCTGGTATCGGAGGCCTAAAGGTTGACACCAACACCAGTATCGGCGGTGTGCCTCCACCGAGGAAAGGAGATCCCGATCTCGGTGATGGTGGTTGTATTCTGGCTTCAAGGTGACCGAAATATTACCACCAACACCGAAATCTAGGAGCAGCATCCCCTTTGTGGAGGCAGCCCCCTGTGTTGGTGTTGGCGCCCATTTCCAGGCCTCCAGTGGTAGGTTCTGTTGCGAGGCAGGGGCCACGGGCCGAGCCGTCGGCACGGCCAGTTTGGCGTCTCGGAGCCGCGGAGCCACGGCCACTGTTCCTTGGAGGCGGGGGGACGACGACGCCAAGTGCGATTGGAGGATGACGACGTGGAGGTCACCACCCACCAAACCACCCCAACCCAGCCCGAAGGCCTCCATTTGCCCTCCATTTCCAGTGTGGGGGGGTCGGGGAACGATGAGAAAACACGTATGGAACCCGTACCCCCCCCAACCCGAAATTCGGGTCTTCGGGTTGGGTTGGGGTGGTCTGGTAGGTAGCCAGGAGGTGGAGGATGCTCGTCTTGCGATCCCTCTTCCTGGGGTCCTCCTTCAAGCGAACGGCCCGATTGAGCATTATGCCCGATGCACAGACGCACGTGGCAGAGAGGGGCAAGCTCTTTCTGCTCGCGTTTGCATGATGAGGGAACGTGTCGGGGAGGAGATAGGGGGAGGAAGGTTTTTTCGACCACTACTGTACGCGTACGAGGCCCGCTTGCTGCTGTTCTTGTTATCACCGAACACTACGACATCATGCCTGATAGTCAGAGTCAAATCAAGTCCAGGAGCAAGATAAGCAGGATGGGGAAGAGGAGGGGGAGAAGGAGTATGAGGAGAAAGGGAGAACGGGGGGGGGAGAGGAGGCAAACGATGATGAGATGGAGGGACGACGATGCTGGCGACGGCGATGGCGATTGCGTTGGCGAGCGATTGTGGTGACGAGGAAGAACAGGAGGACGAGGAGGAGGAGGAAATTGGAACATGTGGGGTGAGCATGAGCAGTGGGAGGAGGGTGAACGCCACAGGCCCTGACCTGCGGTCTGCCCGGCGCCAACAAAAAGAGAGCAGGAGGAGCAGAGCAGTCTCCAGACCAACGGTGGCCCCGCCGTGGCCTCACGAGTGCCCGCGCAAGGGGCCTCATTGTCGCCCCTCCGGACCCACGGGGGCCCGCACCGTGCTGCCACTTGTCTTGGCATCGCTCGGACGTGTGCCTGTTTTTCTCGGCGAGAACCATCGAGGAACATCCTTGATCATTCGGCGAAAAAACCACGCACGAAACCGAAAGAAAAACAGGGAATGGACGTCCGAGCGACGGCGAGTTGTAGCCTCACGGGTGGCCTCGCTTTAGGCCCCGGCGTCCCGCAAAAAGGCCCCCCCGTGGCCCCACGAGGAGGGCCCCACGAGCGGCCTCGCCGGGCGCGCGCGCGTGGAGACTCGCCCCCCAGAGGCGGAGGAGCAGGAGGAGGACGAGGGAGCAGCAGGGGGGACGAGGGAGCAAGAGGGTGAGGGAGCAGAAGCAGGAGGAGCAGGAGGAGGAGGAGGAGGCGGAGGAGGACGAGGAGGAGGAGGAGGAGGCTGAGGGGGAGGAGGAGGAGGAGGCGGAGGAGGCGGAGGAGGCGGAGCAGGAGGATGTGCATGATGGGGGAGCAGGAGGACGACGGAGCCGGAGCAGGAGGCCCAGGATGGAGCGGGCGACGCTTCCGCGGGCGCCAGCGGAGGCCACGACCTCAACTCGGGCCAGGACTGGCACGAGCGCTGGAGCAAGCTGCCCGTGTGA